CCAGTGTTCCACGTCCAGTACGAAAACCGCATTGTTCCTCCTGAATCCGAGATTCGACTATCGATCTCACCCTCCTCTCCAGTACCCCGGAATAGACTTTCCCAGGAAGGCTGAGAAGTGTGATCCCCCTGTAATTGGAACACACCCCCCAGTCCCCCTTCTTAAATAAGGGGACCACCACCCCGGTCTGCTAATCCAACGGCACAGTCCCTGACCTCCACGCAATGTTGAGAAGGCATGTCAGCTACGACAGCCCCACAACATCCAGAGCCTTCAGGTACTCCGGGCGGATCTCGTCCACCCCTGGGGCCGGCTACCACATAGCCCTAACCACCCTGGCCACCTCAGCCCCAGTGATGGGCAAGCCCCCCCCAGCACCCTCGGGCCCTTAGATGTCTCAAAGGCAGTGTGAGTAGATGTATCTGAGGCAGGGTTGAGGAGGTCCTCAAAGTATTCCTTCCACCTCCAGGTGATATCCAGCACTGACCACCCTGCAGCCACAGCTCCGTACAGCCGGAGACTCAATGTCCCCAACCTCCCCCGGTATGCAGTTGGAATTCTGCCTGAGGTGCGAGTTAAAGCTCCGGCAAACAGGAGCCTCTGCCAGAGGTTCCCAGCAGACCCTCACTATGCGCTTGGGCCTACCAGGTCTGACCGGCTTCCTCCCCCGCCACCTAAGCCAACTCACCACCAGGTGGTGATCAGTTGACAGCTCTGCCCCTCTCGTTACCCGAGTGTCCAAGACAGAAGGCCGCAGATCAGATGATACTATTGTGAAATCGATCATCGACCTGTAGCCCCGGGCATGTTTGCATCATGTCCACTTATGGACACCCTTATGCTCGAACATGGTGTTAATTTTGGACAAACCATGCATTGCACTGAAGTCCAATAACAGAACACCACTAGGGTTCAGATCAGGGATTTTTTTAATTCAAAATTGCAATTAAGGCACACAGGGCAGTTGAACAAGGACACAGTGACGTCAATTGCAAGTGATCTCTGTGTATGCTGTGGGTGTGTCAGGTGCATAGGCAGTGACTGCCATTTGTGCTGTGTCCGTGGCATGTCAATAAAAACAAAGAAATATTAAAAAATACTCCTTTGTCCACATGCATTCCCTTGTGCACCACACCCTGTCCTTCCCTTACTCCACATGCCCTTTCCCTTTCACTGTGTTACACCCCAACCCTAGACTGGGGCTCGTAACAACAGCTGCTGTTTGTGTAAAATTAATTTGCGCATGCACGTGTCTAGAACTGCCCAGTAGAGGGAGGTGCCTGTATATTTGATTGATTGATTGATTTAATTCCCTTCATTGCTATTGCAATTCACCATGTCACTAGTCACAAGTACCAGCGAAAAGCAGGCCATCAACCCGACCATACATATACAAACATCACATTATAGGGGGTAGACAGGTCAGGAATACAGGGTGTCGTATATTAAGGAAGACACGAGACAGGTCGTAAGCCGAAGCTGTTCATTTATTGTCATAAACTGAACAGCTGTTCATAAACTGCCGCGCCGTTCTCTTAATATTCCCCAAAAAACGTGACGTGTTTTTTGTGCGCGTACATAACACAGGGGACTATAGGAAAAATCAGAGAAACAAGATTACATGAGGAGAGGGGAGGTGAATAAAAAAACAGCCCCCAGACTATACTCCAGTAGGGAGTACAATGTAGGAACAGAAAAAAAACACCTCAGCAACACAAGCACATAGTCACTACACCTTACAACATAAAAAGTTGTGACTTGCAATAGGGGAGGGGAATGGGGAGGTGGAGGTAGTCCAGCATAGACAAATAGCCATCCGGTCCTGCAGCCAATCCAGTGCCGGTCAACAGACCCGCCTGTTCATGCTGGGGGTATGAAGTGGCGAAGGCGTGGGATGGGGGTAGGGTGTCCTTGGGATTGGGAGAGAGGAATGCAAGAGAGTCTCACTGCCTTGTTCTTCAGGGGGAGTTGTTGAATTCAGCAGCGGCCTTGGCCAAGGATTAGGGGGGAGCCAAAAGCAGATAGAATTGGGTTGTTTGGGTTTTCGGGCGAGAAGCTATAATTTCGCAGCTCCTCTAATGTCCACGCTGGTCTCCGCCATCCAAAATCCGTTGCAGAGCCGTGAGCTTCTCCGTGATGTTATCAAATCTGTGGTCTATAGTCATGGTGATGTTATCAAATCTGCGGTCAGTAGACACAGTGATGTTATCCAGTTTGCGATCTATAGCCATAGTCTTAGTGCCAACAGCTCTGCCAAGTCCGTCAATCATCCCGGCCAGCCTAGTGGGGCTTGTCATCGTTTTCTTCAATTCCCGATAAGCCAGGGCAATGCCTAATCCAATCAGCACCAGACTTGTAATCATGGTTCTGAATAGGTAAACGTCTTCGATGTCTTCCTAGTGGGGAGAGTGAAATGAAGTTTCATCAGTGAATCGTGTGCTTATGACTGTGATTTGTCGGAATAGCCGCATGCTGTGAGGGTGATGGCTGACGGTGCTGAGCGCGTAGCTGAGAGGGTCGGTTACCTGATGGAGTATGAGCGTATGGTGGGGTCTGCCTGTGGTGCTTAGCAGCAGCAGCAGCAGTTTGGGTGTGTGTCTGTGTCTGTGAAAGCTGATCCCCCTGCAGCAGCAGCAGTTTGGATGTGTGTCTGTGTCTGTGAAAGCTGACCCCCCTGCAGCAGCAGCAGTTTGGGTGTGTGTGCGTGTGAAAGTGGTAGGGAGTGATGGTGCATTCGATTATTTCTCTCCAAGTCGGAACTCGGATGAAAACGTCACGAAA